GACATTCCTTTGTCTATTAAACATAAACTTTGGACATTCCTTTGTCTATTAAACATAAACTTTGGACATTCCTTTGTCTTTTAAACTTATCCTTTGGACATTCCTTTGTCTATTAAACATAAACTTTGGACATTCCTTTGTCTATTAAACATAAACTTTTGACATTCATTTGTCTATTAAACATAAACTTTGGACATTCCTTTGTCTATTAAACATAAACTTTGGACATTCCTTTGTCTATTAAACATAAACTTTGGACATTCCTTTGTCTATTAAACATAAACGTTGGACATTCCTTTGTTTATTAAACATAAATTTTGGACATTCCATTGTCTATTAAACACAAACTTTAGGCATTCCTTTGTCTATTGAACATAAACTTTGGACATTCCTTTGTCTATTAAACATAAGCTTTGGACATTCCTTTGTCTATTAAACATAAACTTTGGACATTCCTTTGTCTATTAAACATAAACTTTGGACATTCCTTTGTCTATTAAACATAAACTTTGGACATTCCTTTGTCTATTAAACATAAACTTTGGACATTCCTTTGTCTATTAAACATAAACTTTGGACATTCCTTTGTCTATTAAACATAAACTTTGGACATTCCTTTGTCTATTAAACATAAACTTTGGACATTCCTTTGTCTATTAAACATAAACTTTGGACATTCCTTTGTCTATTAAACATAAACTTTGGACATTCCTTTGTCTATTAAACATAAACTTTGGACATTCCTTTGTCTATTAAACATAAACTTTGGACATTCCTTTGTCTATTAAACATAAACTTTGGACATTCCTTTGTCTATTAAACATAAACTTTGGACATTCCTTTGTCTATTAAACATAAACTTTGGACATTCCTTTGTCTATTAAACATAAACTTTGGACATTCCTTTGTCTATTAAACATAAACTTTGGACATTCCTTTGTCTATTAAACATAAACTTTGGACATTCCTTTGTCTATTAAACATAAATTTTGGACATTCCTTTGTCTATTAAACATAAACTTTGGACATTCCTTTGTCTATTAAACATAAATTTTGGACATTCCTTTGTCTATTAAACATAAACTTTGGACATTCCTTTGTCTATTAAACATAAATTTTGGACATTCCTTTGTCTATTAAACATAAACTTTGGACATTCCTTTGTCTATTAAACATAAATTTTGGACATTCCTTTGTCTATTAAACATAAACTTTGGACATTCCTTTGTCTATTAAACATAAACTTTGGACATTCCTTTGTCTTTTAAACATAAAGTTTGGACATTCCTTTGTCTATTAAACATAAACTTTGGACATTCCTTTGTCTATTAAACATTAACTTTGGACATTCCTTTGTCTATTAAACATAAACTTTGGACATTCCTTTGTCTATTAAACATAAACTTAGTAGGATTGACATTTTGGGTATGGATAGGATGAAAGTGAAAGAGAGAAAAAACGGCTTTAATTTGCATCCAAAGAAATACATCAATTATCATCAGAAATTTAACTACATAAAAGAAGTGTTGACTTGTGACCATGGTATACGTACAGCAGCTGTATCTTGCTATATTTGTTTGTGCAGACACTAAATGTGCTTGAGTTCTCTTGCCCATTGCCAGATATGTTGAGTTCTACTTATGTCGACATTTGTTTACAGAGGTGCTGCCTCTAGTGGAGTTTGTGCTGGAGGATGGAATCACCGACGAGGAAGCAGTGCTCGTCCTTGACCTGTCAATACCCAAACAAAAGAAAGAGGAAAAGAACTGGCAGGAGAGTAGGATGGGGCGTATCCTTTAACTTGTAGATCATAATAAGGCCGCAGCCAGTATTTGTCTGAGATTTTATACCTAAAAATATTTGAGAGTTAAAATATTTGAGAGTTTGTTTCTTTTTTGAGGTTAAACTAACATGGGTTTTTTGGACCTTTTGTTATCTTTATTGTTTTTATACACTTTGTAGGGTATATTTCCAAGTACATTGTTCATTGATAAAAGAAATGTTCGCAACAAGTGTTTTTCTCAAAGAACATTCGAAGACATCAGATCTTTGTCAATTGAAGATCAATATTGTATATCCTGTGTGTTAGAGTCCTTAACCATTACTTAGCTGCCCAAACCCTACGACTAGGAGATGATCCACCGGAGGAGGAGGACGACGATCCCTTCTCTGCCAAACTTATGACTTTTGAGGTGAGTTTTAAGCCTCAATCTCATCATATTTTAACTAAGGTCTTAATTTTTTAGAAAATCAAAGGAAAGCCGCCTAAAATCTGTGAAAGGGTTTTTATTAAAAAAAAAAATTGAAGATGGCACTTTTCCTTCTCAAATGATGTTTGCACTCTATTGAATGCAATCTTTTTCTTATCCATGCACAATGTCATGATATTTGAGGCAGGCTTTATAATCTTCATGAATATTGCCAGGTCATTTGATATTGGCTTTTTATTATCCTTCAATGAACTCTTGGTAATTGATGCAAAGTTTTAATTATCTTGAATTATTGGCCTGATATAGTAATCTTTGAGAAAAATATCACACCACGTAAATGTAACTTCCTAGTTGATATAAACTGGTACAATATAGACCACTTAATAAATGTTACTGACTTTGTACCACTCGTGTTGATAACTGTGTATGATCATTACAGCAAGGGGGAACTGACTTTAAGCCTGTGGTAGTGACCAAGTCTGTACTACAGTCTATGTCGAGGTCGGAGGTGTACATCCTGAAGTGGCAGAAACCGCTGAGATACCAGTTCTTCCGATCCCTACTGCCTGATGTCACCATCACCCAGTGTCATACCTGTCAGAAGGTGAGTCTTCCTCGGGGTAACAGCATGCTTTACAACGCTGTATACAACTTACCAATTAAACATTATCAAAACTGTTTTTTAACACACCATCATCAGATGGGCAGCTCTTTAAATTGATAGTTTTTAGTCTTTTGTCACTCGTCATCCTGTCAGTCCATCTGTAAGCAGCTTTTGTTAAATTTCTCAGGATGTACTTGAAGGTTCTTGATCAAACCCCTTATTCATGGTCCCTTCGGTCAATAGCTGTGCATCCTGCAATTTGAGGGATCCAGAACAGCAAACTGGCCACAAGGCAACCAATAAGGATATTACATGACATTGTGATGTTTGTTACTGCTATTTCCCTGGAGTGACTGAAGGGAACATGTCAGATGAACTATGGTATACATATGATAATCCCCTTAGTAACTAGTTGTGCCTGTTTAGATTCAGCTGATTCAGAAAAAATAAGGTGAACTGTCAATTGTGAAATTCATATTAAGATATTTTAAGTCTTATCCTTAAACTTGATTTAAGATACTCACCTTTTACCAATGTATAATTTATTCACACAGCTTTTCCACACCGACGACTTTGAGCTCCAGTATCTGCAGAAAGGCAGCTGTCCATTTTGTCGAGGAGCTATGGAAGACTGAATGTGTTCTTATACTTTAGGAAAATGTCTATTCTCTCTAGGAACTATCCAGCACCAATTATATTCCTGGCTTATACCTGGAATAGAAACTTTGATTTATCCATTCTGTTGAGGAGTGGTGAATAACAGTGTGTTCCAGTACCTACAGAAAGGAAACTGTTCACTCTGTTCAGGAGCTGTGGAAAAGATTTGCATATCATGAAGCAAATCCAGCCTGTTTGGTTTGCCTTGCTGGCATTCTAGCTTAACTCTATACATTCCGTTATCATCCGTCCAAGGATTCATAATTCTGACATTTTATATAAGGAAAAAATGTTTTATTTTACACATTGTCGATTGTTTCATAGGAAGATGTATGTCAATTCTATTGTGTGTGGAATCTAGAAAATATCTGTAAATCATAACAATTTTACCTGCTTAATTTGTACATGTGGTATTCAAATTGGCGTAGAAATTAACCATCTTTTAGACACATATTGAAATGTAACTTACAGATGTAACAGGTTGATATGTACTCCTTTGTCTTCTCCTATCTAGGTGTACAGACGAATTGGGCCGATCCAGAATTCAACAGTTTATATCATTTTACAATATTTAACATTAACTGACAAAAAGCAAGAGTCTCAGACTCCGTCAAGGTTTCACTGACTATAAAAGCTCTAGAGAGTCTGTTGATGTGTGTGATAATATGAGAATATCAACCGTATGCATATCAGTTTTCTGTGATGCCATGTATAGATCTGTGAACAAAAGGATCTGTCCACTATCCTTAGCAAATTACACACCAGGATGATACTGATAGTGCTTTTAGTGTTAACTATTCACTGTAGTGTATGAGATTAATTACTGCCGTCCTTTTCATGTCTTCTGACTTAAAGATATTCAAAATGATTTCTCATATTGTCTGATTTCATGTAATAATAACTTCCACGGAAATTACATACAATGTGAGTTTTCGAATTGTGTAACTTCACTTTCAGTTTTAGAAATCATACAATTAACTATTTAAGGTACTGGGGTTCATCAGATATATAAGTATAGTCATAACTAGCAACCAAACTTTTCCTTGGCAAATGTACCTATCTCTTATTTAGTGCTATGTGTCAATTAGCATAATAGAAGTGTGATAAATGCTATATAAGATTAACACTAAAAATAAGCCTGCTTACAATAGTGATCTTGTCAGTACATTTTGTTTTCCAACAATGAAGTGTGTGGTAGGGATGTAAGGCACTTCAATAACAAGGTGATAGAATCATTTAGGATTCCCTACATTACCGGTAGATCTGTTCCCTTGTTTGAAAACATGACAATTGGTAAGGTTTCTGTGAGTAGTAACTATGATATCCTCGATATCCAGGGGTTACGCTCACTTTCGCTATCTACACTCCTGGGAATATGTCATAGCAAAATCGAAGGCTCAGTGTGCAGCACCTTGTTGATGAGACAAGAAGACAAGTTTGATCCTTTGATGTACATCAAAAGAATCTCGCGGTCACGTAACAGTAAATTTGACAGGCTTTGAAGTCGGGCGTCTCTCTTTTGTAATCTTCAAAGGACAGGTATCAGCCTATAGCGATTGGTCAGGTGTTTTTTTACCCGAGACAATCAAACAGCTATCTTCGTGCCTTCAATTTTGCTATGACATATTCCAGGGGTGCAGCGAGCGAAAGTGAGCGTAACCCCTGGATATCGAGGATGACTATATGATTTATGTTGGTTTAGGAATATTTTCATTATTTTATCATCTGATTTCAGAAATCCTGCGGTTTATCGTAAGTGTGATCCTTTTTGCAACATTCAAAAACTGCAAAAATATTGATGTAAACATATAAGTCGTCGGTTGTTTAAGTCCTTTTATTTTTACATGTACCTCGTTTGAATCTTAAATTTATACAAACTATATATTTGTACATTTGTTTCTTTGTTACTTCAAGTGAGGTTGTAATGCATTGTTATCCTGTACATATATATATACATAAACCGTCCATTAAGTGATTATTTGTATATTATGGAAAAGCAACATGAAATAGTTTTGGATCAGGTTGTGAATGAGAGACGTATAAGTATAAAAGTACCGATCTGATCTTGCTACAATATTTGTAGGAGACGTTGTCTATGGTGTTACTTTAATGTCATCTGAAGTGATGTTAGATCTGATGATGATTTACTTAATGTGTATATTTTGTAGAATTGTGATGAAAATGTCTATTCATAAATGACTTTTTACAAAATGATTTGTTGATTTGTATTTTGATGCTGTGGAATTTAATGTCGTGGTGAAGTGTTTATATTGTTCATACGTGTGTGTGTCCGTATGTCTGTCTGTCTCTATGCACATCAGGTAAGGTTTTTTGCATTTAAATAATCTATGGATTAGTACTGGAAGGTCATGCAACTTGACATGTTTATGCTCCTTCAAGAACAGAACATGTTTTGTAACCTTGACCTTTGACCTTGGCATTTGTGACTCTGTTTTAGTTCATAATTGTAGGAGGGTGGCTCACAGACAAAAGAGTTCTGCTAAAATCAAGTGAATGTAAGCCAACCTTTATCTACCAGTAATCTTCAAAATCATCAGACAACAAATCAGTGAATAAATTAACTTTTTTTTTTTTATTAAAATGGAGTGGGAAAAATAAACAGTAACAAAAAATCTGCTATTTCTTTTTCAAAACATAAATCTTTGGCGACATTTTAAAATTGATCGGCACAGAAGATTTTATGTCCAGACTGATCCTATCAAATCCATAGACTTCCAACTCAACAGTGTGTGATTTCTTGTATGGAAGAAGGGCCTTGTCTTCAACACCGCTGGCTCCAATAAATAGATGTGTAAACGACATCATCTCATGTCCTCCGGGGTATAAATCTTCTGTTTTGTTGTAACTGCAAGAAATTCCGTATTTTAAGTCTAACTTACTTAGGAGATATGAACAGATTTTTAGCCTCTAGTTGAGTGTTCTATTAAATAGAATGTAAGCTAGGGTTCACAAAGGTTTAACCCATCCTAAATCCACTCAGAAGTACTCACTATGCATAATATTCAACTTGGGTTACTGTCCACACAACCATGACACACACTTACCTCTGATGCACAGACTTGAGAGCTTTAAGTAGGATCACTAGTGATGATACACGTATAAAGTTTCCCAACCATGTGCTGATAAAAAGAAGTTCAGACAAAAATTTGACCTTTGACCCCTTTGAAATGACCTTGACTGTTAGGGTATTGACCAAAGAGTGTGGCATACGCACATCTATTAATTTTCTAAATGGAATGCTGTGTTAATAAGAAGTTAATACTGACAAGCATCTGACCTTTGGGGTGTATGATTCACATATCTATGAAATTTCCTTACGAAATTTTCATCGACGGAGTTGATACTTACATCCAGTTATTGTTCAGCTGAGTGAATCTGGTCACTCCGGTCTGAGCTGTTGCCACGTCAATGTGTATATGTTCTTCTGTAGAAAACAATAAGAAACATTTCATGTCAAACTGACCTATATCTTATGGCAGTAGAAATGACGATAAACATTCTCTATCACGTAAATTAAACATAAAAACTATACAAACACAACTCCTCAAACTTGTATTTAATAGATAGAGTGCTAATGTTCATTACTTTGTAACATGCTCATTTCTTAAACAGGAAAATAGAGCCAATGCCTGTTCAAAAGTAGGTGAGTTATTTAATGGGGTGCTGCGCTTATTCATTTCTTAATGCATAAAAAAGTACCAGTTGCAACCATGCATGAATAAATTAGAACAGCAGAATGGAAAATTTAATCTATTAAATTTTGACTAATCAGAAGTCATGGCAGCCATTTTGTTTTATGGGATCTGGAAAATTCTATTTTTAGCAAATGACCTTGAAAACATAATTTTAAAACTCCTATTGCATATCTACAAGCAACAGTGTACCACAATGTAGAATAGAGATTTCTGGAGGCTGAGATAATCTCTGGAAATGAAAGTGTGGATGGATTTGGTGATGTTCTAGAAACACCCTTATTTTTTATGTGGGGCCCTAAATTGTCTTTAACAGGCAAAATCAGATAGAATTAATTCATTCATAGGCATTGTTTTTCCATGCAGGTTTGACAAGTAAATCAAAATATTATTGATGAACTTTAATTAGATATTTTTTCATACACAATAAGACGATGCCAAGATGCAAGCATCACTCACTATTGTGGGGTGGAGTGAGTAGGTGGAAGTATCTCATGGCCACGCCCCCAGGGTAGTTGTGTCGGGAGATGTAGAGGAAGGCCCCGGTTGATCCAAGGTTAGCCAATAGGTGGAGCACCGCTCCAAAGGCTATTATTTTGTGGAACATTGACTTGGAACTATTCATCCGTCTGGAAGAAAGAAATCAGTGTTGTTGTTTTTTTCAACAATGAACAATATCAATTACAAAGACTTTCATATATATCACCAAACTCCATATTTGGTATGGCTTAAAAGTGCTTGAATAAAAATATATACGTGTATCAACATTTTATAACAAGATGGCTGATTACTCAAGTTATAACATTTCATTATTTAGAAATTGAATTACTTCATAAACATAGCTATAAATTAAAGACCTGATCTGATAAAAAAAACTTCTTCCTTAAAATATTCACTTGTGAAATACACAGTACTCACAGACGTGATAAAGCGGTCGCCACAGCTACATTGAAAATGGGGAAGACGTAGATGATGAAACGCAACTCCTTGTGAGGCAGGAAGGAATAAAGGAAGACAAAGCCAGCTGCAGGTAGTAACAGTGTCCTCAGTCTAGGGTCGAAGTACAGCCCCAGGGGGACCAGGAACACGCTGAGGGCTAGAGCCCGGGGCAAGGCCGAGTAAAAATACCACAGGAATGGCTCCGTCTGATGGTGGGTCAAGGTAAATCATTATATAGTTCAAAGTCAGAGTTGGTATAGCCTTGCTACTGTAGGGCTAGATGTTCAACACTTGTAGAGTTATCTGGCTAATGATAAAATGATGTCAACCTACAGCAACTAGATCAAAGCATTGTAAGTTGTTAATGCTCAAACAATTAGGGAGTTTGAACTTTAAATTGATGATCATTTTAAAGAAACAATCTATGATATGTGATATTAAGACTGTTTTACATATTTATAATACTGTTATTGACACCCCTACAAACTTTGTTAAATATTTGTTGATATGGACCAAGAGGCTTTAAGCCTTTGTCCATTATTATTCAATTAAACTCCAGTTAGCTAGTCTGAAGATGGACTGCAGTTAACAAAAGTAGTAGTTAACTTAATTTAATATGACATCTGGTATAATACAAAAGACCATACAAAACTTTCAGCTAGTAGCAGATGCTCACTTACCAGATACAATTATTATGGTCATATGACCAAAGCTGCATGTTATAATTATGCAGCCCAATGATATGAGGTCATGTCATATGACATAGCTGTTGCAGAGACATTTAACCAGAAACAACTAGCCTGGTACATCAATCTCTTGCATTTATTTTTGTTTGTGATATTGATATTAATTATTAATTTTTCCTTTTTTTTACTAAACCAATGGGAATAAAATTCTGTGATTATTTTATTGTAGATCTTCATGGTAATAAGTTGAGGGACTATACAACTTGGCACACCTTCATTCAATAGGAATCTGTGACTATCAGTGAATTTCTACATGTACATCACTAAGTAACAGCAACATCAATATAACTTGGGAGCATGGTGGCCAAGTGGTTAATTAAAGGCGGCTGACACTCTGCTACCACTAGCCCTCCACCACTGGGTCGCAGGTTCGATACCTACGCGGGGCAGTCACCAGGTACTGGGCTTTGGTTAGTGGTTTTTCTCCAGGAGCTCCGGCTTTCCTCCGCCACCAAAACCTGGCATGTCCTTAAATGACCATAGCTGTTAATAGGACGTAAAACACAAACAGACCAAATAGATCTACAAGCTCCTCTATAAATAGCAGTAAATCAGTGCATGTTTCTACTCCACTATATAGTACCAGTAAATCAGTCCATGTTTCTACTCCACTATATAGTACCAGTAAATCAGTGCATGTTTCTACTCCACTATATAGTATCAGTATTACAGTAAGGATACACCCCAACTGGCACTCTTGTTGAGTATTGTGTTGTACCAAAATACCTCCCCTTCTGGCCATAACCACCTCTGCCAGAAAAAGGAATCCACCAGAACTGTTAAGCCTACAGAGAATAAAAGTTTAAAGTTAAACCAGACATACATAATTGCAAGGAGTAAGATTTTCTACTGGTTAACGTTTCAGGTTTTGTAGAGCCTGGGTAGTTTTACAAGTAAATGTAATTTACTTCCTTTCCATAGTTCTTAGTTAAGTTTCATGCTTGAAGTACATTGTTTAAATCCTCTGGAAAGGAATTTTTCATAAACATCAAACTGTTCCATTAAAACTAATAACACCTATAGCAAACTTATTTCTTGGGTCCATTGGCATTTGTTTTAAACATGTTTAAATATGGAGACTCATTTTGTATGTCCTTGGGTTTGTTTTATATAAAACTGATTTACTGTAGAAAACTGATATTCAGGTCTATCAGGGTTTGTTACAAATATGTTTTACAGTATTTTATTACATCTATCAAAAGAAATGTGTGCAAGATATAAACCAAGTTTAAATGTTCATTTATAATTCAGCTATAAACCCATTACTCCAATTACTCCATTTTTGTAATGTGCCTATCAGTTTACTAAAAGAAAATGACAGTTACTGTATGTATTTGGTATGTCTTTGAAAATATATTGAAAAAAAAAAACATGAAAAAAGTAAGCAAATGTTTAAAGTGTTTTGAAAACATAGAATTTTAATTTGCTTAACAGCATGACTGGTATCAAAATATATTTTGCTGTATTATAGTTTTGTGTATTGTTTCGGAAAGACTTATCTAATTTGGAATAAAAAATCTTACTAATGCTTAGAACTCCAGCTGGAATCGCATGTTTAAACAGGTTAATGAGGGACAGCCTTCCCGCCACCAGCTCCATCAGTAATATAAGTCCAAGGTATAGAGCAAGTTCTGCACGGAATATCAAAATGGCGACAGCAGAGTACCAGATGAAGCGGCCATGTTGCTGTCTAAGCCAAGCTCCTACAGCCAACATTACTGAAACAAATGACGGACAAATGAATAGTAAGATTTCTTGAAACAAAACTTAAGATTACTTGATATCAAGCAATGAAAATCCTTGATATCGAGAAACAGGTGATAAATTGCAAACTGTGCCCCTCGCCAAAATAAAATAAAAATCATGAACTTACATCCAGATTAACTTTATACCTTTAACGATCCATCACAGCCAATATTTACAATTGGAGGTAATCAGAAATGTTAAAAGTCAAAAGTGTAAAGGGTGGCTTAAATGATGTCAAACATTCTATTGTTTGTAAAAGTGATCTTAAAGTTGAGCTTAAACTTGATGCTTATATGATCATGTATGTGAAGTTTCATGACAATTGGATAAGAAATGACATCTGACATTCTATTAACATATTGTAATATTGACCTTGTTATTTACTCTAGAAACAGGAAAATTGTGATGGAAGAGCACATGACTTATGAATTATTTTAGAATACTGACTGTAGTTTAGTAATACGTGTACTTACCTAGAGACAGAGCAAACACATTGGGAAGTGGTCTGGTGATGTAGAACATGAAGTGAAACTGAGTGATCATGGCCCAGTAAAACCAATTCTTTACACTGCTTCCAAATCTGTTATATACGCCATCAGCAAAACTGCTCATACCAACTAGCACAAATGCTCCTAAACAGCTCCTCACTGTAAAAAAATAATAAAATAGAACATTGTTACAAAAAAACATCCCATGAGATTAAGTTAGTCCTGGTATCCTTAACCTAGGCCTGGTAGCTAAATAGAGGAATTCTTTAAACACGTTTGATCTCTGTGACCTTGAATGTCAATCAAGGTGATTACTTAAACAAACTTGATAGCTCTTCATCATAGCAAAATATCTGGCAAATACCTAGACTCCAGGCTTTCTGGTTCTTGGGAAGATGTTTTTGGAATTTTCAAAACATTTAACCCCTATGACCTTGAATGTTAGTCAATGTCTTATAACAAATGTAAGCTTCTTATTTGTGCTAAACTGGAGTTATCACCTGATTATAACCTGACCAAAATAGAAACCTTTTCCATATATTACAGTATATTTCTGTGAATGGTTCATAGTTATCTTATTCATTAGTCTGATCAGCAGACATAAATTTCACTTTCAAAACATATTATTGCCTGATTGGTTCAAATGCATAAGCCTCCGTTAACTCTGCCCACATCTACTATCGATGACGTCAAACAATTGTCATTTGTGTCTAATTCAACGAAAAATTGCTTAGATCCACCCAGATATATTGTTGTCGACGTCGTGGAAACTTGTCACATTCTGTGGTCAGGTTATGAGAAGATAACTCAAGTCTGCTTTAATAATGGTGATTGAGTGAATGTAAATGTAGATTGTAAATATACCAGTCTAACTAAGCTCACAGTTGTGCTGGGTGAGTTAATATTTAAAAGATTTTGAGTGTCTTGGAGCCATGTTTTAGGGGGCAGTTTTTCTTTTTTCTTTACAAAATTTGTTCCAATCATCTATAGTCAACTCACAATCCAGCCACTGAAGCTGGGAACAAAGGTGTTTGGATTATCTATAGGCTCCACTGAAAATATACATTATTCCATGTAAACATTTTCATGATAATGGTAATGAGCAATGCAATATAATAATCAGTTTAATCAAATCTACATTTATTTATTACCAATGAACTGAGTGAAGAACTTGCTGATCTGCAGGAAGTCTGTGATGTAGACCAGAGGTGCAACTGTAATGGACACTGCGATTGGTCCCAGAAATGTTCTCGGCACCACACCGGGAAACTCCAGGTGGTCGTACTGCAAAACAAATTTACAATGGACATTTCAAGTATTGGTCAAAGAACAAATACAATCGACATTTTTAGAAGTATTCAAATGTACAAGTATTAGTCAAAGAACAGCTACCACACAAAAACAATTGTGCATATATACCTGGTAAACAATAAAACCTTTCGAAAATAGAAAATAAAGTTCAAAAAAGTTGCAGATATAGTTTCCCTTTATGGTTAATATGATTAAAAGGTTCTTATATCATCCCTCATTTATGTAACAACAGTTCCAAGGGACCTGTATCATTCACCTGGTTTTCAGTGTTTCATCATGGCATATAAGAGGTTTTCAGTACTTCAGTTAGAGTTCTGATTTACCTCAAAGTAGACCTAGGCAAAAATTCTGACTGGGAATTAAAAAATATTACAGTCAATCAGAGGCCTGAATGGCTATTTAAGATTTTTTAATCTACCAAAAATATAACAGCACTTACAGATTTGATGTTGAGACCGTGGTACAGTATGTCATGCATGGCCTGTACATTAAAGCTCTCCTCCACTTTGGTATATGGACACACAGCCAGGTGCAGAATTGTCACCATGGCAGCCAGCACCTCCACTTTGAATATATTCATAATGGATTTTTCTGAAATAACATGATATTTACATATATTTTTTTACATATACCTGGTACATAGCATTTATGTGAAACAACACAATTGTATATTCATCTTCATAATTGTTTAAATCTCAAAAATAAGCCTTTGCATCCTCATTTACCCTAAAATCTCCTAAATAAGCCTCAGCTTCTTTTCATTTTTGATAAGAAATCACAAGCTTTAATTTCCAAGCCAGCTTATTTTCAAGGCCATCTTATTTTCGAAGCCATTTAGAATGTAAGGCGTGTACAGCTTATTTTCAAAGTCAGCCTATATCAAAATCAGGCTTATTATATAATTATCGGGATTTAAAGGTATTCATTGTAATTATATCTAAATAGGAAATGACAGCAGGATTGATTCAGAGAAATTAGTATAATAATAGTTCTAACTGAAAACACTAACTACAACCATTAATACATAAACATGTATAATGGAAATCCCTGTCACATGCATTGTTGCAAGCTTGCTTCATTTTTTTTTCTTTTTCTGAAGTTATAGTGTCTTACTGATGACGAAAAGTTTGAAGATTTGGCGAATATGGTAAGACTATTCTGGTAACAAAACCACGAGAGCTCTATGAGATAATAATAAGCTGTGACTTCTTTAGAGATTCCACGCCCAAAATGGAGATTAAAACCCAGTCACCTGCATGGCAGTAGACCCCTGGCTAAGTAACCATTTGTTTAATTGAATAAGACAAGAAATTATAAAACACAATGTGTAAGGCCACAACAGATACTTTGACTAACCAAGGTACTTCGTCTCTGTTGATCTGAACCAAGTCTAGATCAAATCCAATAAATTCTACCCTGTTTTTTTTAAGTATTTGTCCCCAGAAAACACTGTGTTTGGGTTTTATATATTAGGTGTTAACACTACTTGCGACAAGGGTTGTTAGGAACTATGCTACATTATACATGTAGCGACTGAGCCAGATATCTTCAGGTGTCACCAGATAGCTTGATCAGTTGGTTAATTAAATATCTATCTAGATTTTGGAGATCAGGTTTGAATCCTGGACTGGCCCCCACTGCCTCCAATTGAGTGAAAGAGAAGTCTCCCTAACCAAGCCTGTGGGAAGCTGCTAAAGTGTTTTAATAGGGTGACATCCTGTCCCTCCAGGAAAGAACTTGTCCCTTATGTATCCAGGGGTAATAACAAAGCTTGTGAGAGCCAATGTCACACAAAGTCATTATTTTTCAATTGCAATGCCTCTGCTAGGAATCAAACCCGGAGCCTCTATAGGTTACTAATCTGACACTTCAATGATGGTAAACAGAAATTCTAGCAGTCAGTAGGACGTGGCTTGTATTTCACTAGGGCGTCACAATGATTATACAGTGAGGAGGACTCAAAATTACCTTGGTACATGGGTTTCAGAACTTGTTCTAGATTTGGTTCTTATTTGGCAAACGCCTGTACATGGAATAAAATGTGAGATTCTTGTGAATGTCTTGGTTGTCTATCACATTAGTAGATTCCTTAAAGGAGTAGCAAGCACCTGCTACATAATTTTTTGGTTCAGAGTTGATGCATAGCGCTGCGATAATGTAGCTTTCTGACAACAAGAGATTTCTTATATATTGCGTCATCAGAGCAGAGGAGGCCGGCTATTAATATTAGTACTAGGTATCTGTCTATATGTTATACTCCACAGAGACCAAAATGGCTTTAATGCGGAGGGTCGTTAGTACTAATATAAATACAACTGCAGATTAGTGTATGAGGCATAACACACAAGATACACGCATATGTCTCAAAAGGAGGGTGGGGTAAAAAAATAATGAGAATTTGTATTGTAACAGGAGCAGAAAAATGCACGACGAGACCGGGACTTGAACCAAGGACCCTCAAAGCTCTAGACAGATGCTTTCCGACTTGGGCTTCCTGGTCGCCGATAATCAACCCAGTCCTGACTTCCGCTACATTCCTCCTTCCTTTGTCTATATATATTTACAACCCTGGTTCGGTTATATCCCCTTTCACACAGTACTTGAAAAAAGGGTTGGTCAAAGGCACTAAATGTAACAAGAAGAAAATGCATGTCCAGACCGAGACTCGAACAAGTGAACCTCCAAACTCTAGACGGATGCTCTACCAATTTTGCTACCTGGGCGACCAAGTCCATTTCCACTACATATTATTAGTACTGGGGAAGAGTTAATATTCAGATATTGGTAAAAGAGATGTGCTCATGCGGAATGATAGCAAATTTTAAACATCATATAGGTATATCGGACGGCCATACGCTGGACAGTTTCCAACTGGAATGATTACTTCCTTGTTTTGTCATCCACTTACACTTAGTATAAGATATGATCAATGCGGATTCACAACTACATAGCAGTAGAAGAAAGTGGTTATCTTCAGGTTGTCCGAATTATTTTAGCGCAAATAAATATATATCATATCTAATAGCAATAATGCATACTCATGCTTTCTCTATGTTTCCTAAAAACATATTTCAATTCACTATACCATGGAATTATGCACATATCCAAGATGATGAAGCTGTCTGCTAAATCAATATAAGAGGAAACTGTACTTCCGGTTGTGTACACATAATGGGATGACGAGGTTCACATGTGCACTCGTGGAATCTGTCAGATTGTCAACATGCTTTTATCAATATATGGACAGATGTTATGACAGATCATAATATAGAAGGTGACATATGTCAATTGAATGAAGTTATGTTGCACTAACCACTGGCTCGTTAATCAATACCAATATCTGGGTAAATAGTTGATTTTCTCCACTCCAAGCACAACTTGACCTGTCGTTGCTCACTGATAATACCGTTATCTATACATTTGTCACTGCTCAGTCTGCTGGTAAAGTGACCTACCGCTTTTAGCACAATGTATCTTTTGTTTCTACATGTTCATATGTAGTATGTGTACGTAGTTATCAATATACTATGACACCTGTTTGTTCCCAGGAACCTGAAACCTGGGAGGGGGGGGGGGGGGGGGGGGGNCTATAACTGGAAACCTTGAGCAAACCTTGTAACGCTACTTCGTACAATATATCCTTATCAATTGGACATTGCCACAATTTGAAAGAAAGATCCTTTACCTCCCAATCAGCATGGTCTATGTAGAATCTGCTATCTATTCCTTTCCTCTAACCTAGTGAAAAACAGGGAAAAAACAGCTTATATAGAAGCTAAGTCATACGGATGACATGGAATACTGACAAGAAATTACAAATTTGATATTGATTATTTTAGAAAACACTGTTAATCTTCTATACTTGATGAATTACAAATCTATGATGCAGACACATTCCTTTTATTTTTGTTTGTTTTGTTTTGTGTTAATCAGCTCTTGTATTTTCTTATAGGTGAGTGGAACGTCATGCATGATTATAAAATCTGAAGTCATTCTTTTATCCTTAAGAAAGAAAGTTCACTCGGCTTAAATCATGGGTGCTATAGAATCACATGATTTCGCCCCTGTTCGTGATGATGAAAGGAAAGAGCTCAACTTGAGCCGAAGAATCACTTACAAGCAGTATAAAAAGGTTTGTTAAATTTGTAATCAGTGAATAAACATATATATATTCATGCATTGACACTGCAAGTAACTAATGTCAATTACTTGAAAACATTTTTACAGTCAAACATCAAATATTGTTGACTAAAAATAGATAATTATTAGCAAAGAATTGTTTCTTCATTTTTTTGTTTAAATTAAGCTTGCAGTTATATTTTTTTTTCAAAGGAGAATTGCAGATTAGTGTTAAATAAGGATAACTCTCTTATACTAGTGTTACGTTTATGGCAAACAGAAGTATCCTAGGAAATGTTTAAAACAAGTTTGCGTTATGGGCTTTGGAATTGTTTCAAAACTGATATCAATAATACAATGGTTCACACAATTAAAATTATATCTGTAAATTATTGTGATCTTGTGTAAGCACACTAGAAAAGCTCATAATTTAGGATTTATTTCCTTCAGCATTTGGACGGAGACTGCCATGAAGCATGCCTTTCAGAGATACCTTGGAGCATAAGGGATTCCATTTGTCTGTATGAAAGGATGAATGTGTCTTTCAACGCCATAACAGAACTCCCACCGGAACTCCCTCTTCGACTGCCCCACCTGTACTTCCTTGACCTCAGTCATAACAAGATTGAAACTCTACCAGACAGTTTTGGACTTCTCTTCCACTTAAAAACACTTCTGTTAAAGCACAATAAGTTACACTCATTACCGCAGTCTTTTGTTCATCATGTGAAACTAGAGAAAATAGACTTATCCCACAACTTGCTCAAGGAACTTCCAGATGGTATAGGGAAAATGGAATCATTGTCAAAGCTAAATGTTTCTAACAACAAGCTGAAAATTTTACCTGTGTCCCTTGGAAACTGTAAAACTCTGACTCTGTTGCTAGCTCAAGGAAATAGGCTGAATGAGCCTTCACAATGTATATGTGATGAAGGATCGGAGGTAACAATTAAATTTTTAAAACAGAAATATTTCTCTATACATCCATATACGGATCGTCTTCCTTGTAATAATCTGAATGAATTCACCCGAGTCCGAGGGAACCAGCTGCCAAGCTCTGTGCCAAATCCTCACTCTGCTCATGTACAGTATATCCAGACCCAAACCCACACCACCAACACACCAAGTAGAATTAAAAGTCCGCTATTACCTCCCCTTGGTGCAAGTGACCTAGATGCAGGCATATTGAGGGACAAGATTATCGGTAAGTAGTTGTGTACTGATATGGAATAACCAAGTTACATCAGCATTCAGTTTAAAGGATGATCCCATCAAGAAAACTAACAGCACAAGTGCACAAATGAAAATATATAAACTGAGTACATGTATATGTATTATTCTGGTATCAATACCTAAACTTCCAAGGTACATATACTGCTGGTGGTTGTGGTATTAAAGTATATAATTATATGCATTCATAATAAAAAACAGTTTTAGAATGAGCTAAGCTAACATCTCAGTTGATTGAAATACTATTGTTGGGGTAAATTTGATTACCCAGTAATCTGAAGGCAACATTCCTTATTCAACTTTAGTATAACTGCACTGATGGAAAAATTAAGCAAAAGTTGATGACAATGACTGCTATTTCTAATTTCAAGTATGGCTTTCTAATATGATACATATATTCTATATAGGACTGATATACGGTGCTGCGATAGGAGATGCAATGGGGCTGGCAACCCGGAGCATGTCGGTGGATGAGGCTGCCTTCCACTACAACAGTTCAAACATACAGTATTCGGAGATCGTGGTGGACGATCACCGTGTCCGTTGGAGACCTGGTGACTGGACGTCCAACTTTGACCTGTTTGTAAGCTTGATTTGTTATGAAATTATAGCATTTGCGGGTATTTTCTTTTTCCGCTGACTAAGTTTTCATCCAAGTCCATTTATGTGGGTCTTTAAACATTTTCAGTTTCATTAACATGGTAAAATGTTGCATCTGTAGTACCACACTTACAAACAATCTTATTAGCGGTTCTTCTTGATAACAAAGTCACATTTGTTGCCACAGGCAAGGAGTTGTCTCATGAACATCAAACATTTTAGTGAATTTTGGCCAGAAGTTTGCTATAACCATGTTTTACCACAGAGTTATGTTATCTTCGGTTTGTTTTGAACAAGCATTGCCATATATTTATGTTCCCTGGTTGTTTTCATAAACACAGGCTAGCGCTAGTTGCTTCCAGGTATTAAATTCAAAGTACTGTACCATAATTTAATTGAAAATGACCAGATACAGATTGAGACCAAGACTGCCTTCTCAAGAATCGGGCACATGCATCCAGTTGTGCCTGACCAAAACTTAAAGGCTGGCTATCACTAGTTTGCTGTATTTCTATATAAAACAAGTTAAGGTCAATTCTTATATTCATTTTAGAATATGTTATCAAACTTAGTACACAGATGAAAGTGTCAATTGTTTAATTTACAATTTAAAGGAAGTCATATGTACACCATTCAATTGACTTTAATTTGAGGACAAGAAATTTAGGACAGAGTATTATATTATCATTTAGGTGCTGGTTTTGGATTCTGTGATATCCTGGGGCGGAGTTGTTGATGAGTTAGACTTTGCCAAGCGTCTCTCTCACTGGAGTCAGAAAGGTTTCCCTGAACTTGGTGATACAGAGGGAATCATTCTTAGTCCAACGATCCAGCAGGTAAAATAGAACTTGAAAAAATCTATTTTGAGCATAATACCTGTACATACAAGTACACATCAAATATTGTGTAACTTGCAAATCAGGTGTAAAATGTGCATTTATATTGTACAACCACCTGTCAAATTTTATTCAACCAAATACATTTTCTTGTAAGATTTTTCAGTCTATCTGAAAGTTTTGTTTTGTAATATTGCTTGCAGATAGTTTCACATAATAGATATTGATTCAATTTAATTGAAATGGTATACAATTTCTTTTACAATTACACATAATTTTATTATGATGTAATATTATATATTGAGAATATACAGTACCCTGAGAAAACATGTTTTTTTTTTTTTCTTGCAGGTCAAAGTTATTGAATTTATGATATGTCAATCATATATATTTCAGTTTCAATACACCCATAGTGATGTCATAAGTAGCAGTAAAATGGTGTCATGAATTTATGTTGAAAGAGTAAAAATGGCAAAAATGTTCTCTTTTATCATATAAATATTATGGCAACATGTATTATTTTACATAGTTTTATAACTAATTTATTAAAAAGAATCTCAAACTTGCTTGTTTCCCTTTTGTTTTTTTTAAACATGTCATAGCGTACAGTTTATTTCAATGGATATGAAAAGTTTCTTTTTATGATTAAGGTGACAGAGTACATATATAACCATAGTAGTCATCGAAACATCGCATAGAAACACTGATTGGTTGTGTAAAAAGAATCTTTTCATGTGTCGAAGCGTATTTCATAAAGCCTCTTTTTTGGCAACTTAAGAATCTTTCCCCTTGGGTTGAGATTCTCCTATCTCACCCCCAAGGAGGTGAGAGATTTTATTAATCTGCGGTTAAAGGAAACTGTTTTTTGACAACATATCATACATGTATTAAATGGGAACTGTTTTTAGAATCTCTGAGGGGATTATTTTCTTATTAACAACAGGTAACATGTAGTAGAGGGTATACAGACAAACCACACGGTGTGTCTGAGGAGGTGTACCGAACACAGTGCTCCCCACCCCAACACAATGGCAGTGTGTCCCCGACAGCCAATGGGGGCACTGGTGTGTTTGGGTGGAGCAGTGACAACAAAGGTGACAGGCAGGATAAGAAGTTGTATGTCCGCAGCGACAGCCAGGCGTCTTTCTCATGTGGTAGATGTGAGGGACCTGGAATAGATAACGGAGCCATAGTGAGAACTGCTGTGTTAGGTTTGTAACGTGTGATCTATTGTGTCAGTATTATTTACATCAGTCTCAGTTGAAGCAAAATATATGTTAATAACTGGAAATGAAGATAAATTAAGAAATGTTGCTAAATTTGTATATTTAGCTTTTGAAGCAAGATCAAATTGTATTATATCTGTGACATCACAAATTTAGTATTATTAAATCGGAAGTCAGTGCTATATATTAGTAAATTGTACGTTATAAGGTACTCTGCAGAAATTGTTTTTGATGTAAAAATTGTGTGAATATGGTTATTATGTACTGTGCAAATTGTACTATGGGCTAGTTGGCCTTGAAATACTTAATAAAATATCTTGAGTTGAGTTGAGTTGACATCAGTCTCTTTACTAGCATAAACATCTATACAATCTAACATGGGTCCATGGAACAGACCCATGTTTGATTATTTTTCACACATACTTTCAAATAAACAAATTCCAGTCGGAATAAACATCGATCAGATTCTTCCGCCAAAACCTCAAAACCCCTAGGGTTGAGACAGAGGATTCCCCATTCACAACAATTGTATGACATCACGGAAACAATACAATGACGTAACGTCGACAATTCATTATTATGACGTCATAGTGCATGTCACCTGTCTTTCCCTAACCGGTGTGAGATAAAGATATCTCTTCCATAGCAACAACGGGATCACCCTGAGCAGTATGGGAGAAAAAACTGTCATTACCTTTATTAGTTGTGTCATGGTTAGCACAATTTGTAAACATGCTCATGATCAGTTGTATGTATTTTCTTATAAGTACTTTATTTTTTTTATAGTTTTATATACTTATATACTAATTCTAATATACAATAATATACTGGGGTCCAACTGGTCTGACACTATTTTCACACTGATTGCCTACAGGAATACCCTCCTTCTTTGACCTGTCCGAGGTGGTCAATAACACAACAAGGATATCTCGGGCCACCCACGCTAACCCGCGGTCAACAGCCTCCTGTGTGGTGATCTCTGTTCTCGTTGCCCTCATGTTACAGGTATATCTTGCATACTGTTTTTTATTTGATACAGGATTCATGGTAAATTAAACTTATAAAATTAATAGGAAATATCTATATATTTTCAGAAGTCAAGCACCCAGTAGGTTCATAATTGCAATAAAATGTGAAATAAAGAACTTCATATGACTTTTAAAACATCTCTTTATTGCCTGTCTTCAATAAGATACATCAGTTTGGAGATATGTAATATCAAAGTTTTACTTTATTCACAATGTGCACATTAAATGTGTCGCAACATTTCAAGACCGACTAGTCCCTTTGTCAGCACATTTTTTGTGTATAAAGTAAAACTTTTATATCATCTTTGTTTAAAAATCACAAATATTATGTTTGTGTTCTATAAGATATTTTTACTTGCCCCAGATTAATGAAGTACTGGGATCATTGTTACTGAAAATTATATCGGTTCCGTAATGTAAGCCACTGGTAAGCACACTGAGTCCTATAATCAGGGGTAGTTTCGGCCTAACTTGACGAGGTTCCATTAATCATATACCTCCCATGACGTCCCTATTGATGTTGTATTTAGGGTAGAAAGGATTTGTCTGATGCTGAAAAGCTGGAGGAATTAATAGCTACAGCCAAAGAGACTGGCAGGCAGATCCTCAATGATCCAGAACAAATGGAGGAATTTGACCAATACTGTGATATGGATAATCTGGACAGGTGAGTACTGCTGAAGCATAAGACCATTTATACATTGCAAAAATGTGTTTTGTTTGATCTGAAAAAGACAAACAAAAATCAACATACTTATATGTAAAACAGACATTTGAAGTTACGGTACATCCCGAAGTCATGATATCTGGTCATACAGATAGTGCATGCAATATTGACTAAATTTTAATTGGCTACGATATTAATTTTCCCTTATTTTTGAAAATGTTCCTTTTTGAACATGAAATGTTCTAATAAGAAAATAATAATAATAGTAATGTAACAGGAGCGAGACGGGCCCAGTTTATTATGAACAAACTACCCCCGGCTCGCTACCTTTTCCTCACAGCCCAGGTTCGAATTGGGTAGCTTGTTTCTGCTGTTGAAGGTAATAACTCAACTCCGGGATGTGATACAGTAACAGTATTTGTTAACAGAGATATATGAAGCAATGAAACATGAACAACACAGGCCTAGATGAAAACACGATACAAACCATAACAAGTTGCCAAGACGACCCTCCCAACCCTACATATATATATGTACATAGTACTAGGCTACCAGGCTAACATCCACACGACATTCCCAACCTGCTCTATCTATCTATCTATCTATACATACATACATAATCCGCTATTCTAACATTACAGTACCTACTATCCCCTACAGAAGTCTATGGCAGTCATAGCAGGAATCCAATCCTTCGCTCTGCGCTAAAAACGAAAGTAACACCCCACTATATAGCAACATTCACAATACAAAACTCTCGACCAAAGAAAACATAGTGCTGATGCAGACACAGGCACAGACAGAAAAGCATGAAATCACAGACAGGTAAACTGCCAACACTTAGCACTGGACTGGTACACGTGGACAGGACACCACAACAGACAGAGGTCGGATGACACCAGTGCACCCTGGCCTCCATGTAGTACAGTAACTACACTACATGTACATGACCCCTGTCTGACACATAGAACACATAGACTATATACAACAAGAACCCCCCCGCTACATGTGTAACATTAGTGGTAGATATGAACTTACCTTCGATTTTCTCTGGTTTTATTATGTGTAACATNAAATCTTGCTCAAAGATCACAACAGCGCCATGTCGTGACTCGAACTCGTAACCCTTTGGTAATGAGCCCAGCATCCTACCTATAGACTTCTGTGCTAATTATGTATATATGTCTATGAAGTAAAAACCTGGGAATGATAAGGAGGAATAGACTACAACTAGTGTGCACTCTTTACATCAACCTATTACACTAACAAATAATGAGTCAGACTTTAAACATGTGGAGAAGAACAGGTGGTTGAGTTGTAGCAGGTCATTTCCTATCTTCCTAATATCTATTCTTATGACAGTAAGTGTTTATCAGCAGGTAGTGTAAAATATTAATGAAAACAAATCTTCATTCTCATTAAAGACAAAAAAATATGGTAACATGTTCACTAGAGCTCACCTTCTTGCACTTAAGACCAGACATTTTTAGATGGTATGTCCATGTACTTAGTTTACAAACAGATAATAAAATATAGTCCCTGTGCCTGAATATTGTTTTTGCTTTTCTTTTCAGTTTGAAGGTGACAGATGAGAGGAAAATGGGACACACTTACATGCCATTAAGTGCTGGTCTGATTAGCTTGAGATCTAATCAAGACTTCAGGTAAACACAAGTGTTAATTTTTGTAACATGTTATATTGTATAAACAAATAATTACATATTTGGTGCTTTTTGCAGTAAGGTTTGAAGTTCATTCAAATGATGTCAATGGGCTAATCAAGCTATGCAAAATTTATGCCTAAAGGTATGAAATGATACTGCTCCAAAAAAGAAAATATAATCACGGAAAAAGATCTGCTTCCGTATATTGAATATTGAATGAAGCGAGTGTCTCCCTCGTCTAGATTAGATTTATTTCCCTTTTTGTTTTGATACTTTGCATCTACCATTCCTGGAATGGAACATTGGCTGAGTATACACTGTAGGATAGACAGTGAATAAGTTCCAATTTTTACTCCTTGAACTTTTCTAAATAGGCAATTTCTGACAACTGTAGTTGAAAGTTAACCACAAGATTACTTTTATATGGAACTTTTCTGTTATTTTGACTTTTCGTTTTTGTCATTATAGGACAGCCATGATGAAACTGATAATGAAAACCGGTGATGCAAACAGCAATGCTTGTGTGGCGGGAGCTCTCCTAGGTTGTAAGGAAGGATTTTCTCATCTTCCCAAACACTGGGTAACTGGGCTGAGGAAAAAGCAAACAGCCTGGCTCAATGTCAAAGTCAATATCCTTCTTGATATGTTAGGATTACCATAATGTACACTGGTACCTCCGAAATGATGCTTTAAATATTACAACCATTCATACTGCCTTAATTGGGTGTGCATAATGACTTAACAATTTGTATACTTATGTTAGCATATTAATTACTGTACATTATATGAAATCGTCCTCTGACATGCCATCTGTGATAAATTCATTAATAATTGATTTAGGATTTTGTACATTACAACGGAAAAATATTTACCAGTAGAATGAAATAGTTGCTGTTACATGGTAAGTAAATGTCATTTTATCAATAGCTTTTGTCAATGGCTACGTACTGAATCAGGTGATCATATTGACAGGTAATAAATATATAATACCAATATGTATATATGTATTTTTTCAAGCTTAATAACCAATCGCTCATTTGTTCTAGCTTTTTATTTTTTATTTAGCAATAACTTTGTGTATGTTATTAAGCCTGTTATGTATTTTTAAAAAAAAGTTAAAATGTTGCTTTGTGTTCAAAGTGTTGCCGAGAAGCAGGATCAGTTTTTGTTAGCTCTTATTTGTTTGGAGTACAAACTTGATGTAATGATTGATCAAAGTTTTTTGCTAAAAGGCAAGTTGGTTGTACTATCTCTATAATAATTTTCGTTATTTTTCAAAGTTCAGTTAAAACATTTTATAAATATAAAATGCTAAGGCCAGTTCCTGACATTTTGTCTAAGATGTAAAATTCTGGACCTCGTCCATACATGACATTTGTTCAAAATTGGAAAATACTTGAGGATGTTCTGTTGTGACATTGTGTCTAAGATTAAATACTGGACCCCGTTCTGTGATAATATACAGTGCTTTTATGATTATGATTTATGATAACCAAAGAAATGTTCACAGTGTATACGATCAATGTTTCATATTACTACCTTATCCTGTCTGCATGACGTTTATGTCACCCGTCAATATACAGGTGAAATTCTCAATGTAGGCATCACTGCCCCGACACCGTGAAATAATTTGTAAATTTGTGTGTGTTGCTGTTTGTGTTGGCACAGCCCAATTAAAAATATGTTTATTTTTTTATAGGATGTTATCAAAGTAACACCTATACATCTAAAAAAGTACTGCCAATTTACCTGTGTTCTTCCTGGGTGTGGATATTGCATATATTTTAGGGAATTGGCTCCAAGCAAAAAGGTGCTAAATTGTTAAATTCATATTGCCTACGCATCATTTCAGAAAACAATATTGAGTGCTGTTTGATTAAATAAATAAAAAATGAAAATCGAAGTGGCAAGCAACAATTTCTTGTCATTGAACTGACATATTATTTTTCCACTGACTTTGTATGTTTAAAATGATAAAAACTACAGGGAATCTGTGGATTAAATACTTACAATTTTGTTATATTTTATTTAAATTGTATTACGTATGACATTGTGTATTTGTATCAACTTTTATTTTATTTTATTAGGGTAACATATATAGAAATATATAGAGAAATAAAAAATAGCATTGTCTCAAAAACCTTTCACAATTTTGAAAAGTTCTTAAGGAGACTTCAAAATAAAGGTATAAGGCTAAGGGACAATGCCATTGTATTGTTGAGTTTTTGGTTATTTCATTTCTACATACGTACTTATTGTTATATATATTTGTATTGGTATTAATGTTTTAAGGCGAACAACACTCAAAATTACAGTTTGTACACACTAAATTTTCTTTCCTAGTGAGGATGCATTTGATTGAATTGCTCAGTTTCCTTTAACTTCTGACTGTATTATGCTTAGTCACTAAGATACATGTTCTTACTTGTCCAAACTGGGCACCTGTAGGGTAGATGTTCTTACATGTCCAACCTGGGCACCTGTATGGTAGATGTTGCTACTTGTCCAACCTGGGTACCTGTAGGGTAGATGTTCTTACTTGTCCAACCTGGGCACCTGTAGGGTAGATGTTCTTACTTGTCCAACCTGGGCACCTGTGGGGTAGATGTTGTTACTTGTCCAACCTGGGCACCTGTAGGGTAGATGTTCTTACTTGTCCAACCTGGGCACCTGTAGGGTAGAATCATATTACACCTCTCGTAGAACTATTAACCAATTTAAAATTTTGTTTACCGCTCGCCAAATGGTATAATATATAGGTCGTTATTGGCAAATAGAAACACAATTATAGTATAAAATACCATTATATAAACATTGTCATAACAAGTCCTTATTAAAACGTTTTTTCTAATGTTTAATTATTACAATATTAGAAATCACCCTCTCCATTGGAATTCATCAATTCATATTAAATTCAGTCCGTAAAATAACTTCAAACAGTTCCATATCGACATCAACTTAGATCTATCTTAGACATATAGAAGGTGAAATATAACAGACGAAAGAGCAACAGATCAAAAAAAGCTAAACACCATGTACCCCAGAAGAATGAAAGGATATGAACCTGGGTGTTTAGGAAAGGGTAGATACTGAACCACATGTGGCCCCCTATGTGATGTCGCCTGTAACATAAATGTACAGGAAAGTATGGAGGTCACAAGCGTTTTATAGACACACTGAAAAAGTCCTTAGGTTATGGTAAGCAGCGAAATATTATTCGTGGAAATCCTGACGTGACGGTAACGTCGGGTAAAATTTCTTAACTTGTGTTTAAACATTGATCTAAGTTAGGAAACATTAGATAAATAGTTAACTGGTCAGCTGGTCTCGTCTATCTAGAAAATCCTTCTTGGAACAGCTTCTGAAGTAGCGAATCAAATGACATGTAAATTGTATAGGCAGGATAGGCAAAGGAATGTCAAAATATATTCAGTATAATTTTGCGTGAAGTTATAGGACCGGGCGAATATCTTGCCTCCCTTTTTGATAGTCCCTGTAAAACAAAATGACTTTTTAAACACTTGAGTTCAATGAAAACGATATATTCGAATCACTAGATTTAACTTTTTGAGGAAAGAGGTATCTGCCATAACGTCCAACACTTTCATCATTTTTTTTTACATTTTTCTCGACAGTATATATATACAAGGATTTAGGCGATGGAAGGTCTTTGTAGACTGCTGTAAAACCATTATATAACTATCAATGGGGAAAAAAGAGGAAACACTTCTTGAAATCTAAGAATGAAAACTCATATGAAGTTATAATAGGTATAAATAAATAATTTGACGCTTTGATCAACTAAAGTTTCTCATTATTCACCTTGATTCTTTTGCATCTACTGTTAACGACACGCTAGTATATGAAACGTATATTAAAATAAACACTAACCATCTTCTTAACGATATACTAATGATTTTGTTTTGTATTTTATATATAGTTGCTTGTTCAATTTCTAGTTTTTTTTTAGTTTGCTAACTGACTATATTCTATTTCTAGTCTTCCTCGGTTTTTCTTACAAACATCATATACGTAGTCTCTCACGTCACGTGTCTGTCATTATCTCTAGTTGTTGTTTTGATAACAATAGACGAACGTAACACATACAGGTGATCGCACCTTTACAATTTGGTAATAGGTCGAGTATGCCAACAAAAAATGTATTACGCTGCATCCTACTGTTGTTTCGTCTTTCTAGGACTCCTCAGTGATGCTAGGGCCAAACATTTGGTTATCCAAATTGTCTACGTGTCTGTTCGTTTATAACTGTAACATTTTTGGAGATAAATCATAAAACCTACAGAAGTTTATGCAGGCCTTGCAATGCTTTTACAAGGTTTGCCTGAAAGTAGCATCGTAAGGCTTACAGAATAAACTAATTGAATCAGATTACTAGGTCTGACCTTATTTCATAAACAAACAATTCTGTCCCAACTGGTCCAACCGTTTGGATTGCGATAAAGGAAAGCGGCCAAAGCACTATACAAACGGGGAACAGGTACGAACAAGTCAAAGTATGTTTGCAAAGTTAGGCCTCTACTAACGGCTTGTGTTCCTTCTCTGACAGATATTAGTGGTTACACTCTGTGTAATTACATTTGGCCGTAACCTTGTAATCGATTCTGGCATGGTTTGCACAAAATATGACTTGAAAAATAACTAACCCGTTGGAGATAAAGGTTGTAATTGTTACGTTAAAAAGGATTAAATAGGCACTGTACCCATATTGCTATATTTTCGAACACTTTAGACCTTTGGTAGCACTGATGATTCATAAATGGGCGAAATGGTCATACATTGCTTTATAAATGGGCGAAATGGGCATACATTGCTTTATAAATGGGCAAAATGGGCATACCTTGCTTTATTAATTGGCGAAATGGTCATACATTGCTTTATGAATGAGCGAAATGGTCATAAATTGCTGTATAAATGGGTGAAATGGTCCTACATTGCTGTATGAATGGGCGAAATTGTCATAATTGCTGTATTAATGGGCGAAATTGTCCTACATTGCTATATAAATGGGCGAAATTGTCCTACAATGCTGTGTAAATGGGCGAAATTGTCCTACATTACTGTATTAATGTTTTCTTTGTTTGGCTTGCTGCAACGACTTACAAAACCATTTGATAGTTGTTGCTTCAAGGTAATTTCCGGTAATTTTGTAGTGGTTGTAAATTTGCTAAACATTTATGTACAATTGTTATTATTTAGGTTAAATATTTTGTGTGCTGTTTTGAATATATGTTTATTTTCACAAATATTATTTTTTTTATTGTATATGTATGTTGTCTATTAATATTCAAGAAAAAAATGCAATTGTCACATTTAAGATAACAATGTATCAGCACGTATACTTACCCAGTCATGTAGGAAAATCTAAGTTTTTTCAGACGACAACTTTGTTTTCATTATTGTAGTTTCATATCAAAGACGGTTCGTTCTTATATCGAAAGTAGTTCGTTTAAACTTGAGGTAAATTCCATGTTTTCAAATAAAAAATACCTCCGGCACAAGGTAGAAACTATATAGAAGAAATATCTTACAATACCTGAGATAGCTGTGGAATCATCAAATTCAGAAAATTGTTGACTGCAATATCAAGGACAAAACGTCTTTAGAATGAATGACACATCATGAAATTAACAAGGCTTAAGCAATTTTCTTCAAAAATAGAGTAGCTGATCTGCCATAATTAAAGTAACGGTAAAATGAAAGACTGGTTTAATAGGGGCCACGCTTATTAACAGTGTTTTGGATAATTTTAAGAATGCATGTATATTACCTGAAAAATTCAAAGATGACATACATACCAAAACATGTATCGTCAGTCTTAAATCATTTTTTATTCAATACAGAGCTGTACTTAATTTCGTCTTGCGATTTTTATCACATTGAGATGTTTCGGAGTTATAGAGAATCACTTCTTCTCATTTTTGATAAAATGTTTTCTGATGAAAATTACTTTTATCGTGGCATAATAAGATTACAGATATTGATATTGATTCTTTTTATAGCTTAAAATATGTTACATGATTGTGATATATCTGATTCATTATCCTGGAGTAGACACAAATATCTTTGTGCTATACATACATTACATATTGATAAATCAATGTGATTCAGCGTTTTAAACTTTTTTTATGAAAATGAATAAAATATTGACAATAAAAAATATCGCAGTGCAGACGTTACTATTGATTGAATAAACAAAAATGGCAAATATATTGAATTTAAGTACTAATCCTAGACGCGCTTAACAAACGTTGGCCTTTTCAGAGGTTGAACTGTTACCTTGAGTAACATCCCGGGACCCTGACTTTATGACTAAAAATTACATGTCTGTTTTAAAGTAAGTCCTTTTGATATGAGACTATAAAGTACACTCCATTACAAAACGATGTTCGTTCCATGTGACACCACGATAGCTGTATGAACGATTCTCATGTAATAGTGTTTAGTCTTAGTCAATGGCCTGCCTTAACATTCAAGAGTATTTATGAATACTAGTGAGATTTTTATTTTTATTAAGGCACTTTGAAACGGGTTTTTTTTAAGATATAATTTGTTTTTTCGAAAATCTTTGAAAATTTATATAAAATGTTGCGCTGTTAGAGCCAGATATGTGAAGACGCTTTCATTGACTTTTATCAAAGATGTGAAACAATTATACTCCTTGTCATATGATGTGATTTAAGTTCCTTGTTCGTTAGGGTCCTATACGGTTACGTTATCCCGGTTATCATATGAGTGCCATATCTAAACTCGTAAATGTTTTTTTATCATGACTTCACGAAAAACAAATAAGATAGTGCAATGTCAGAGTCTAACTACATAACTATTTTTAGACATTACATTGTCCAAGGTATTTAAGTGAAGAATATAGTTGTCATGTACAAACTTAATTTGAAATTCCTTTTAATGATATCTATCGGAATTTATTGTTCATTTCATCATACATTTGAATTGATTTTACAAACAATATGGTGCAACATACTTTTTATGTTCAATTCAATCGTGAGAGATAAAAACGTTCAATGCGATAGTTTTTGTTTACGGCTTGTAAATGCAAGTTACCCATTCGAATAGATGTTATCTATAATAAACAGGAACATGTTTTCGCATTTCATATACAAAATGTTTGTCTGGGAATGATGGATATAAAAATAAAACAAATAAAGAACCTATTATTGTTGGGTTTGTTTTCACATTTCTTTCTCTCTGGTGGAGAAGCAATGGTTATATACATTATTTCTCCCGAAGATATATCCTCCTCCTGTGGTGTCAAACAGGAAAACGATTCAGCATTAACATTCTTTATTGTTAAGAAGAAAGCAAGGCGTTGTGCGGATATCAAATAAAGTAATGAGTGCGCGGATCTGATTACAGGACAAGTTAGACAAACGAATACATTATTCTAAAAAATCAGTGTTATGATTTTATTGGAGGTACGTACAGCTTATTCCAAGGACTGTGTTAATCATACATGTCAGTTACGTTTGAGACTTCAGCTTGTGTACTAAATTATTCAAGGACCTATGTGTTATAACTGTATTTGGGCTCCTCGAACGCTTCAGCATTTTGTTTATTGGTAGCTACTACTGTAGTTTGTGTAGAACAAAGGAAAATTTTCAATATTCATTACCTCCGGAACTGATCCAAGTCATATAACACCCCCCGAAAATTAACCATCGTTTTGCTCATATAATAAAAGTAATAAAAGTTTTACGGCAGAACATTTGTGATTGTGATATATGATAGGTTTTGTAACCTTTTACTACACAACTTCTGAATTTTTGATAGGATCAGATATGCTATAATAACAAAACGATTTTTCATTCCTCGTGCAATTTATTGTCTTTCCAATATTAAAACCTACCCATTACGTCTACGAAAATATTCTCTACTTTAAGATCGATATTTCAATATTTTCTTATTATGTCGAAACACTAACTTATATAAATTTTCGGGTTATTTCAGTTTTATGGCGAAATATTTTACAGGTACAATTGGACCTCATCGCTCAGCATAAGTGGTGATCAATAAATACAGCCCAGTAAGAATTTCACCACGTCCTGTAATGATTTCACCATATCTTGCAATGATGCCTGGGTGCTGACTCACAACACTCGTCCTAACATTTAGATTTTTGCGTGTCAAATTATAGAGCCCAGGAGAAAATGCTTCTTTATTTATTCCATGGTAATTATCATATACGAGCATAATATGGGATATAGTAGCTTACCTGGCAAGCGTTTAGGGTCCATGTACCTGTGTAAAAACGTAACTATCGATTGGGAACGTTTTCACTGGTTCCAATGATCAAGTCCTTTATTAGCAAATCATCATTTTTTTCTAAGCCCCGTCCATGTTTTTTTGTTTTTTCTTATTCGCGAAACTTTTAAGTTAAATGAGAGAAACTTGATTCGGGAGAAAAAACAAAATAAGAACAGTTCGAGTGAAGTATCCTTTCATTTTTAACCTATGAGGTTCAGACTAAAGTTGACATTTGCTTCAAATTTATTTTATCTTTCTTATAAAAATGCGGATTTGCAGTTTATAGACATTTACTTACGACATATCACAGTTTAATTCTATTCATATGCTATAATCTGCTCCAAAAAGGGTATTTTTTTCTAAAATTAAACCTTTGTATAATTTTTTATCTTTTAGCGAGTTTACACGCAAAAATCTATCATGGTATC